GCCCTCAGCTCACCGCGGCGGTGCCGCCCCCCCCGGCCCCCCCCCGTCGATGCAACGCTTGTCTGGACGCCCGAAATGGGTACGGGAAGAATGGGTATGATGCTCAACATCGGTTCCTGTTCGTTTTGAACAGGACTCGCTGTCCACGCCGCCGCGGCCTGTGTCCGTTCGAGGCAGAAGGCCGCCTGCCCAACAGCGGCCGCTGTCGGTTTGGGACAACATTTGTTGGGCATTGTACCCATTCTTTCCGTACCCATTTCGGGCGTCCAATTCCTGGCAGGTTTCATGGAGAACCGGCGCTGGTGTACAAAGTCGGGTCTGATTAGTAGGTGGAACATGCCGAATCAAGGGCACGGCACACTTTTGCTGTCTCGCGACCCGTGCTCCTGTGGCAAGGTGGCCCCCGGAAGGGTCTGATGTCTTCCCGTGTATCCTGTCCGATATCGGTGGTCTTTCATCATGCTGACGAGGGTCTCCCGGGAGCTGCTTCCTGACCCTCTAGGGCCAATGTTGATTGTTGGATGTCATCTGCTTTCTGACGTCTTCGTATGTTGACGAGGACCGCCCAGGAGCTGCTTCCTGACCCCCAGGGCCAATGCCAACTTTTGGATCTCCTATTTTTCGCTTTCCAGCCGCTGCGCCTCGCCGGGTGCGTTCTGGGGGTGCCAGCGTCGTTTCGCACGGCCGCGGGAGGCTCGAGTTGTGGCCTGGAAGCCACGCAGGGGCATGCACACTTTTGGACTCGGCCGGTCCGCTTCGGTGTCGCTTCCCGCCGGCCCAGGCGCCGTCCCCGAAAGCCAGGGACGGGGGGGGCCAGCGCCGACGCCAGCGGCGGGGCTGCTGACGGTCGACACGCCGCGAGCCTGTCGCAGAGGGGGTCCTGGCAGGTGGGGTCGGAGGATCGCACCGCGTCGCCGAGGCAGTGCCGGTACATCGCCGAGTTCTGGCCCGAAAGCCAGCCAGGGGCGTGGGCACTCTGGACTCGGTCGGTCCGATTCGGTGTCGACTCCGGCCGGCCCAGCCAGATTCGACTCGGACTTCTGCTGTCCGTCGACCCGATCACGGCCTGGCGTCTGCACGGCGCTGCTCTCCGCAGCCGAGACGCAGCCGCTCCGCCTCGAGAATCCCCGATTCTATGCTGACTGGTCTTGCCCCCTGGAGGAGGAGGAGGTGGAGGAGGTGGAGGAGGTGGAGGAGGAGGAGGAGGAGGGGGGGGAGAAGGGGGGGGGGAGGGGGGAGGAGGAGTAGGAGGGAGGAGGAGGAGGAGGAGGAGAGGAGGAGGAGGAGGAGGAGGATGTGGAGGAGGAGGAGGAGGAGGAGGAGGAGGCGGAGGAGGAGGAGGAGGAGGAGGATGTGGACGAGCAGGAGGAGGAGGAGGAGGACGAGGAGTAGGAGGAGGGGGCTCGACAAGCAACAGCTGCGCCAACACAAGCGTTCGGAGGTCCGCGCGGGTATTGCTTTCGTGGGCGCTGGGCGCCCCCCCAGAGGTGCTCTTTCCTCCCTGGCGGCGCCTAAGGCGCCGTCCCTGAAAGCCAGGGAGGGGGGTCCAGCGCCGATGCACGAAATTCGCGCGGGTCTCCGACAGTTCCTTGTACGTTGTTGCTTAGTCTTGTGATCCTCATTCTGATTGATCTCTTCAGTGTTCGTGTCATGATCTTTCGCCTTTGAGGGTCGAGGTCTCGAGGATCGAGGGTGGCCGAACTTCTGCAGACCTCCCTGGACGCCCGCGTGGCCACGGCTTGGATCCTCCTCGGATCGTTGGCCAGAGCGCATCCTGCCACATCCACGCCTTCCTCCTTCTCGCTCTCCCTCCGCAATCCGTACCCTTAAGTCGGGCCTGTCTTTCTACAGGAGGAATATTCCCAAATAGTAAACAAGTGGGCTGGGGACGATTCTTTGAGTATTTTGAGCTATGTTAGGTTTTTGTTGTTGTTGTTGGTGGTGCTGTTGTTGTTGTTGTTGTTGTTGTTGTTGTTGTTGTTGTTGTTGTTGTTGTTGTTGTTGTTGTTGTTGTTGTTGTTGTTGTTTATGTTTAAACATTTTTTCGCGCCAGATCCGCCTGTAGGGTGATATGCCCGACCTAACCGTACCCCCGTCGGAGATGGCATTCCCCGTAGCATCCCCGCCAGGCACGTCGAGATCTGTTCATTCCAGTATACGGCATTCTGAGGCTCGCTGCTGGTCGCCCGGCCCACGAGAGGTGGCTGCTCGCACAGCGCCCAGCCACCCGTGGACCTTCCACCCCGAAGGTTAAGTAGGGCCTGTCCCTCCACAGGAGGAATATGGAAAAATAGTGAAAGAATAGTCAGGGGACGAGTATTTTTGATAATTGGTGAATATTTTTTTGGGCAATTTTTCATTTTGCGCCCAGATTCCGCCTGTAGGGGACATGCCCGATCTAACCCTAAGGTTCGATTGGACCATGATGGCAGAAGCGACCGGGGCCCTTTGGATGAACGATCTTCGGGAAATCTGTAGGGAAATCTGCCACTTGTGTTTGGGCATTCCCAAAGTCTCGGGAAAATGTCCAGGCTCCCTATAAATCCCTGGGGAAATCTCAAGGACATCGCATGGCTTTACAAATCTGAGTGGAAATCTACGGAACATTTCTGTGGTGGAGGAATCTCAGGAACAATTGGTGAACATCAACGGAACATCTCCTGCGTGCAGAAATCTCCAGAACATTTGTGGCAAAATCTCCGGAACATCTATGTGACATTTTTCCGTCGTGCAGAAATTTCCGGAATATTGTTTTTGAAATCCTACGGGAAATCCGCAGAAAAAATCCGGTGGAGATTTCGTTGAAGATTTTCTGGAGCGACGAGTTTTTCCGCATTTTGAGATTCGCTGGGATATTTGTGGCGCGATTTGTTTTTGAGAACCACCCGAAGTTTTTAAGACGCGACGCATTTTTTAGAGATTCGCCAGAAGTTGTTCTGGAGGATGAAGATTCGAGGGGATTCGCGGGACGATGTTTTGGTGATTCCACGGCAATCGCTTTTGCTCTAATCGGCTCAGTCCGACCCTAAGGAAAGCGCATTAGTTTGTTACATCCAGCTTCTGATTCCCGCCTTGTCTCCGTCCTTCCTTGCGCCCTCCTTCCTCCTCTCCTGTCTCTACCTGCGCCTCCGTCCCTCCCCTCGCCCACCCGCCTCCTCAGAAGAGTTGGGGGCGATGATGTACTGCCTGCTGGAAAAAAGGTTTGTCTGGCAGCATATGCTGCCATAAGGATCTGGTGTTATCCATTCCGTCTAAGGGACGGTACCAGTGGCAGCACAGTTGCCTTGCTTGCTAGCTTGCCTGCCGCTTGCACTTGACGCTTGGTTGTGTTGTCCCCTCGTTGGTTCGAAACCCGTTTCATCCTCGGACGTTGTCCCTCCGCTATTGTCGCGTCTGTTGGCCTTCGCTTTCGCCTTCGTTTTCGGGCCCCTCGGTCGGCCCCGCTCGTCGTCGCAAGTGTTTGGGAGCTACCCCCTGAATCTAGCCTACAGCCACATCAATAATTGCTTATCCGTTCGTTTTGTGGTCAGCCTGTCGCTTTACTTTGTGTACTACCGCGTACCCAGGTCAATCGCGGCAGTGGCCGCCTGGCGTCCCAGGCGTTTTGCCACGCCCTCTTCTCCTTGCCAGCCTGGGGGCTGGCTTGTTGTTGTTGTTGTTGTTGTTGTTGTTGTTGTTGTTGTTGTTGTTGTTGTTGTTCTTGTCGTTGTTGTTGTTGTTGTTGTTGTTGTTGTTGTTGTTGTTGTTGTTGTTGTTGTTGTTGTTGTTGTTGTTGTTGTTGTTGTTGAATTTTCATTTCCGAAGAATAATTATTGTTGATCCCCCCACCGGTGCATATTGTTTTTCTCAATCAAAGTGTGCCCCTCGACGCTCGCACCATGTTTTTTGACAGGGAAAGTCTTCCTGCTCAAACTGGCCCCCTGGCCCCCGGGTTACAACAACAACGGCTCCCGCTTGAGACCTCCTTACAATTTAGGCAGGATCCCCGCTCCCGCCCGAGACTTCCTCGCATTTTATTCAAGAATCGCGCTCTCGCTTGGGACCTCCTTGCAATTTATTCAGGAATCGCACTCTCGGAGCTCTGGAGTCGCGCTCCCGCTGGAGACTTGCTTGCAACTTACTGAGGAATAGCCTTGCGTTGGAATTTCCTGCAATTTGCCCAAGCGCCGCGCTCCCGACACCCAGGCACCCAGGAGTCGCGCCCGTTGTGGCCCCACGTGCATGCCCTTCGTGGCCCCGCTGTCGCCATTTGTGTCCCCCTCATTGTCCTACGTGGCCCAGCTGCTACCCTCAGTGGCCCCATAGTTGCCTTCTGTGGCCCCGCATTCTCTGCACTTCGTGGCCCCCGCTCGTTCGCACTCTTCGTGGCCCCATACGCATTCCCTTCGTGTCCCCGCTGTCGCTTTTTCGTGGCCTACTTCGTGCCCTTCGTGGCCCTGCTGTCGTTCTCTCTCGCTCTCGCTTTCGTTCGTCGGCGCCGTCGTCGCCGTCGTCTTCGACGTCGTCGTCGTCGTCGTCGTCGTCGTCGTCGTGGTCGGTCCCCTGTCCGTCCCTCTTGGGGTCGGTTCGACGGTCCGCGGCCGCCCCGCCGATGAGCGCTGCCGCTGGCCAGGCCGACGGTCCGCGGCCGCCCCGCCGCTTGCTGGGGCCGGCCTGCAGGGAAGAAAGGTATACCCCCCAAAAGGGGTTCGATCGAAGACGAAGAGGGCGGGTATCGAAGGTTTGGGAAATGCGCGTTATTGGACACTCGAGCATATAAGGGCGAACAGTCTGAACATGATTGCTGTTGTTGTTCCCTACTTAGGCTCTGCCTAAACGGGTTCTTACTCTCTTGGCTTACAGGGCCGGGCAGTGGGAACCGGCCCGGGCGGTTCCCCCAGTATCCGCCCCGCGGTTCCCCCAATAGCGCCCCTTTAGCTTAGCTTTGTTTATCTCATCGTAGCTTAGCCTAACTGAGCTTAGCTTAGCGTAGCGCTTAGCTTAGCTTAGCTTAGCTTAGCTTAGCTTATCCTAGCCTAGCTTAGCTTCGCATAGTTTAGCTTGGCTTAGCCTAGCCTAGCTTAACTTAGCTCGGCTTAGCTTAAATTAGCGCAGCGCAGCATTAGCATATCATAACATATCATAACATAACACATCATAACATTTCATAGCGTAGCATCGCATATCGCAGCATCGCATAGCGCAGTATCGCATATCATAGCGTATCAACGCATACCATAACACACCATAACATAACATATCATCGCATACCATAACACATGCTTATCATATCACATCGCATCATACCATATCATACGATACAATATCATATCACATCATAGCACAACGCAGCATACCATATCATACCAAATCATATCATAACGCATCATATCATATCGTAACATATCAGTATATTTCATAGCGCAATATATTTTATCATATCATGTCATAACATTTCGTAGCCTCGCGCAGCATACCATCGCGTATCATATCATATAATCTCGCAGCATAGCATAGCATATCATAGCATATCATAGCTGTTGCATGTGTATAGGTTAATGTAGATGTCGGTGTAGATGTAGATGTTGCTTTCCTAGGTGCTCCAACTCCTAGGTAGGGTCGCGCTGTGATAGTTGTAATTATAATAACAATTTATTTTCTGCTCCTCTTTCTCCTTGTTCTTATTATTGCTCTTCTCGTGCTTCTTATTTTTCAATTATTCTTTTTGTGTTTTCTTATTCTTCTGTTTGCCAGCCTGCTTCTTTTCACCATAACAGGCGGTGGCGCAAGTGGCAGACCCTCTCGGCAGCAGCACCGCCTGCTCTTATATGGATCAACACGCCGGGACCAAAGTGATCGAAGCCAGCGGCGAACAAAACCTTTTGTAGCTCCCTTCCCCCCCCCCTCCACCTTCCTCCTTCTGCTCGTTTTCCTTTTCCTCCTCCACCTCCTCCTCCCTCCTCCTCCTCCTCCTCCTCCTCCTCCTCGTCTTCCTGCCTCCTCCTCCTCCTCCTCCGCCTCCGCCTCCTCCTCCTCCTCCTGCTCCTCCTCCTCCTCCTCCTCCTTCCCCTCTCCGTCATTCCCCCGTTCCCCGCAGGTCTGGTGCTGGGACAAGCAGAACGAGAACGGCGAGGGCGTGAAGGCCGCGTCGCCCCGGGGGGAGGGGTCAACGCTGCGACGGCCAGCGAGGGCGCCGCCCCGCTGGTGGCTCAGCATCGGCCGAGGTCGGGCGACGTGCGCCGCCGGAAATTACGAGGCTTCGGGCTGCGCACAGACAGCCCCCTCCCTCCCCCAGGTGGAGGGTTTCTCCGAAGGGCTTGGGCGACCCGTCTTCTCTTCCTCCTCCTCCTCCTCCTCACACCTCCTCCTCCTCCTCCTCCCTCCTCCTCCTCCTCCTCCTCCTCCTCCTCCTCCTCCTCCTCCTCCTCCTCCTCCTCCTCCTCGTGTCGCCTACGGCCCCGGGGGAAACCGTGCACCCCCAGGTACGGTCGGACCGAGGTAGGAGATCGAGGTCGGTTCGGAAAGGGTGCCCTCATGTTCTTCTCGCTTGTTGGGTGATCTTGTGCGTCCTGGGTTTTTGTTGGCCGGCGGAGGGTGTCTCGAGCTCTTGAAGGATGCTGTTCTTCTGTCCTTGGTCGGTCTGGAGTCCCAGCTGGCCGCCACAAGCCCCCCGAAAAGTCCCAGTTGGCCTCAGCAGGCCGACTAGTCTGGATCGGTTTCCGCACCTTGGAGCCAGGTTGAGGTGCTGAGACCGCCCCGGGACTGCTCGGGGGGGGGCCCTGTTGAGGCCAGCCTGGGCTGCCTGGAGGGTCTGTTTGTGTGCAGCCCGACGCCTCCCCTTGAACTATTCGTAAGTCGGGCATGTCCCTCCACAGGAGGAATATCCAAGAATAGTCAACAAACAGTCCGGGGACGATGTTTCTAGTATTTATCGATTCTTTTGGGACTCTTTGCCTAACTCCGAATCTCTATATATATATATATACACACATCTATCTATATAAACATATGGATGTGTATTCATATATGCCTGTATATATATATATATACATATCCGTATTTTTACGCACACGCATATATATATATATATAAATATCTGTATATATACATCTATCTATATATATATATATATATATATAGATTATCCCTGTGGTGCCAGGCGCGCCAGCGCGCAGGTCGCCACGCCCCGAGCCCCTGCAGGAGGGCCCGCTTTGCGACGCCGGGGCCCCCGACTGCTGCCGGGGCGTCGGCACGCGCGCGTCGCGTCCAGGTCGCCCGAGGGGGGCGCGCAGAGAAGTCGCTCCGAGCAGTGGCGAAGCCTCCTGGCTCGCCTGTAGGCCCTGTAGGCGACAGGCCCGCCAGAGAGTGTCCTGAGAGCCTTTCGTGCTCTGCTCGAGGTGTTCTCGGAGCACTTTGGCCGAGGCTGTCCTTGTTTGCACACGCCGGGTTGATGTTCTGAGAGCGTTGTGTGTGTGTGTGTGTGTGTTTTTTCGCAGGGCAGTTTTGGGTTCCGAGAACATGTCATGGTAGGACTCTGGGCATGGCCCTTGCTCAAGTCGCGCTTCGCGCGTCGCGGTCTTGGCCAGAGCGGTCGCCCTGCTCCGATATGGGGGGGAGGCCGATGAGAAGCCCCGGGCGAGTCCAGGGCGCGCACCGCTACGGGGACGGCGGTGCGGGCGCCGGGGTCCCAGAGATGCCCAGACTTCTCATCGGCGTCACCTCAACATACGAATACTGTGTGTGCGTCGAGCCCTGCGGGGTGACGCGCGCTCCGAGAAATCATCTAGTATAAGCTCCGTGACGGGCGCTTCCTGGCTACACCGCTCGGGAAACGATGCACTACAAGATGCTTACATTCGATGTTCTCTGGTCGGGCGCACGCCTCCAAGCAGAACACATAGTACCAGCATGTCCTTGTGCGTCCCATTTAATTTCACATGCGATTTTTTTTCCAGACCCCGACGCGTCGACGAAAAATGAAGCGGCTCAGAAAAGGGAGGAAACCCTGGAATACATCCCAAGGGGGCTATTCGGACGCACCCCTATCGAGGATGGACGCCCCCAAATAGTACAGGGTTCGGGCCCAAATTTATGGTCCATTTGAAACTCCTCGACGCCTGTCTTCGTGGGAAGGTGGGTGGTGACTCTCGGCGGGATGGGGAATGTTCAGACAGCTCGGACTAGCGCGTCTCGAGCAGGGTCCATGTCAGTGGTTTCTGTGCTACTGATTTGTTTTTCGATCCCCTTCGATCGATGCTCGGCCGCGATGTCCGAGCTATTGATGCTCAGAGGCGGTTGCAAGGTACACCCCTTGGCACTGATCCTTTCTGACGGTGCACAGACTCTGTTCGCCGCCCGGGCTGCGTCTAGGAGGAGGAGGGGGAGAAGGAGGAGGAGGAGGAGGAGGAGGAGGGGCAGGAGGAGGAGGAGGAGGAGGAGGAGAGGAGGAGGAGGAGGAGGAGGAGGAGGGGGGAGGGGGAGGCGGAGTGAGGAAGGAGGAGGAGGGGAGGAGGAGGAGGAGGGGGAGGAGGAGGAGGAGGAGGCGGGGCAGGGCGAGGGGGAGGAGGAGGAGGTGAAGGAGGAGGAGGAGGAGAATGAGGAGGTTGAGAACCAGTGTAAACCCAAGACCCATCAACGATGTTAGAATAATAACCCCTCCCTCCAGGCTTCATCTGCATAGGCCCCTGCAAGGGTTCATTTCCACTCAGTGAAGTGCCCCGTTGGGAGACAACCGTTGGAAGATCCTGAAGCGTGCCGTGCCAAAGCACCGTGCCCGGAATCGCAACGCCACTACTCAACTTGATTGTTGCGTTTTGTTCGACGTTCGCGAGTCGTGCCGGAACGCGCTTCCTGGAACTTCGACGCAGCGAATCAACGTCATTGTTGCTCCCTGACAAGCCAGACTCGTTCCAAAACGCCGTGTCTGGTACGTTAACCATGGGAATCCGTGGACTTCGTGACACCGCTTAGGAAGAAAGTGCACGGCGCTAAGGCGAGAGCAGCATTTTAAAATGGAGTTGCCCTCCATCTGTGAAGCTCTTGTAATTTTTCAAGACGGGTGTGCGCGGCGCTTGGGCGAGAGCCTCATTTTGAACACGGGCCGCCCTCAATTTGCGAAGCTCTTGCAATTGACGAATTTGCGCGGCACTACGGCGCGAGCAACACTTTGAAAACGGGCCGCCCTCAATTAGCGAAGCTCTTCTCAATTTAAAGATCGAAAGTGCGCTGCTCTCGAGGCGATAGCCACATCTTGAAAACGGCCCGCCCTCAATTCACTCTATGCACAGTTTGATCACGAGTGTGCGCGGCGCTACGGCGAGAGCCACATTTTGAAACCGACCTGCTCTCCATCCGTGAAGCTCTTGTACTTTTTCAAGACTAGTGTGCGCGGCGCTAAGGCGAGAGCCACATTTTGGAAGCGGCCCGCTTCCATTTGAAACATGCTGTCGATTTGTAAGTTTTGGATCATAAGTGAGGGGGAAGTCGCAGGCGAAACGACCAGCCCGCCCTTCCGATGGCGGAGGAGGGAGGAGGACGAGGACGGAGGAGGAGGACGGAGGAGGAGGAGGAGGACGGAGGAGGAGTAGGAGGAAGACGGAGGAGGAGGAGGAGGAGGAGGAGGAGGAGGAGGAGGAGGAGGAGGAGGGAGGAGGAGGAGGAGCAGGGGAGCAGGAGGAGGGGAAGGAGCAGGAGTAGGAGAGAGGCGGAGGAGGAGGAGGAGAGGAGGCAGAGGAGGAGGAGGGAGGAGGAGGAGCAGGAGCAGGAGAAGGAGGGGGGCAGGAGGAGGAGGAGGAGGAGGAGGAGGAGGAGGAGGAGGAGGAGGAGGAGGAGGAGGAGGAGGAGGAGGAGGAGGAGGAGGGGGAGGAGGAGGAGGCGGAGGAGGAGCGGGAGGAGGAGGAGGAGGAGGAGGAGGAGGAGGGAGGCGGAGGAGGAGGAGGAGGAGGAGGAGGAGGAGGAGGAGGAGGAGGGAGGAGGAGGAGGAGGAGGAGGAGGAGGAGGAGGAGGGAGGAGGAGAGGAGGAGGAGGAGGAGGAGGAGGAGGAGGATGGAGGAGGAGAGGAGAGGAGGGGAGGGGGGGGGGAAAGGGGTGGGGGAGGAGGAGGGAGGTTAGGAGGAGGAGGAGGAGGAGGAGGAGGACAGGAGGAGGAGGAGGAGGAGGAGGAGGGAGGAGGAGGAGGAGGAAGGGAGGAGGAGGAGGAGGAGAGGAGAGGGAGGGAGGAGTGAGGAGGGAGGAGGAGGAGGAGGACGAGGAGGAGGAGGGGAGGAGAGAGGAGGAGGAGGAGGAGCAGGAGGAGGAGGAGGAGGGAGGAGGGAGGAGGAGGAGGGAGGAGGGAGGAGGAGGACGAGGAGGAGGAGGAGGAGGAGGAGGAGAGGAGGAGGAGGAGCAGGAGGAGAGGAGGAGGGAGGAGGAGAGGAGGAGGAGGAGGAGGGGAGGAGGAGGAGGAGGAGGAGGAGGAGAGGGAGGAGGGGAGGGAGGAGGGGGAGGAGGGTGGGGGGGCTGCCGGCTCCTCCAGGACCCCAACCGCTACTGGGACGACGGCGCGGGCGGCGGGCCGTGGATGTACTGGGAGAGCTTCTGGGCCCCCACCGAGCCCGGCGCCGTGGCGCTCCAGGGCCCCGCGTTCGGCGACGCGCCGCCCGCCAGCAGGGGGGGCCTTCGCCGCCGCCGAGCCGCCGAGCCGCCCGCCAGGGGCCGCCCTCGCCGTGCCGTCGAGAGGGGGTCCACCTCGCCGCGGAGGCTGCGGCGACGCGGCGGGGAGGAGGGGGGGACGGGAGGGTTGGAGAGAGGTCCTGTGCGAGGGAGGGGGGGGAGCGAGGGGGCGAGGGGAGCGAGGGGGCGAGGGGAGGAGGAGGAGGAGGAGGGGGAACGATGGGGGAGGGGCCAGGCGGTCGCGGGCGTGGGTCAAGGGGGCGTGGATTGGCGACGGGTCCCGTTTCCATGGGAAGCCGCGGGTTTCCGCCGCCGAGCGGGGCGGCACGGGCCGCTTTTTTGGGAATGGTGCCTCCCCCGATCCATGGATTTGGCGATCGCGCGCTAAATCCATGGATCGCTAATCCATGTTTGCGCGCCCCCGAAGGAGGGAGGTCTGTGTGTGTGTGTGTGTGTGTCCGTTTCACTCGTCTGCGTGCAACGCTTTGTACACTGCGCCTTCGACACTGTTCGGTCGCAGCTAGCACTTCCATCTGCAGCTCGCGCTGGAGGGCCCTCTGCATCGCCGACTTCCAAAGTGTGTGGGTGTGCGTGCGTGTGCGACGAGGGGCTTGGCGGGAGGTTCGGGTTCAAGGTCAGAGGTTCGAGGCCAGAGGCTTTCGGGCGTTCTTTCGCAGGTCTGGGGATGTCTGCCAGCCCAGGGATGCACCCCGGCGGCTGCTTCTCGTCCAAGGCACTTCCAGGTATGCCTCGCTCGTCCCGAACGGCCGCCAGAGAGCCGAGTTGTGACTCTACATCCGAGGTGCAACGAAGATCACCATGGAGCAAGGTCCGTTTCGATTCGATCGATCCGATTGATCTGATTCGACATCGGTTCTGGCTGGCCCGATTCGATTCGATTCGATTCCGATGTTCGGGCGATCTGACGGCCCGATGCTTGCTTGGGTGCCCTTGTGCGTTTTGGCGCAGCCGATCCGAGTCGGTTTCGATCCCGTGCCGATGCGGCTCTGAGCTGACGCGCATTCCGACTCGATCCGACTTTCCGATTCCCCGATTCGTGGCCGACCGCTCCTGGGACGACCGCGGTCGTCCTCTCGACGACGACACGAGCCGGCGTCGGGGGCAAGATCATGGCGAGGTGTCTTTTCGTCGTCTTGGGGCCTTCGGAGGCCTCTTGGGGCCCTCGCGGGACCCTGGTGACCGTCAGAAAACGAGTCGGTTCGGAACACCGGCGGCCCTGGGGATCGAGTCGGCAATTCCGGGGACTCCGTGTTGACAGTATAGAAGCATCACGTGCTTGGGGAGGCGGTGATCTGACGGGGCTAGGAGCTAGGACTAGGATAAATCGTTCGAGAGCGTTCCAGAACGCTCTCGGAGCATTCGGGAACGCTCCGAGAAGGCCGCGGCGCCCGATACATCCCCCAGCGCCGCCGGATCTCAGAGATCCTCGATTTATCATCTCACCCGATTCCATCCTCGTCCTTGCTTCGTCTCAGGGGATCGCCCCTTCGACGGCTACGATGGTGACGAGCGTCGGCGGCGGCGACGACGACGACGACGGCGGCTGCGGCGGCGACGACGACCACCATCACCGCCGCGGCGGTTGTGGCGGCGGCCGCGGCCCACCGCCGCGAGCGGCGGCGCCGCAGTCGTCGGTGGCGGCGTCGCCCTCGAAGGCGCCGCCGTCGAAGGCGACGCCGTCTTCGAGGGCGCCGCCGCCTTCGATGGCGACGTCGTCCTCGCAGGCGCCGAGGGGAGGGAGGGTCAGAGGAGGAAGACCCATGCTGCTACCCTTCCCCGCTTGCCCCCCCTTTTTTGGGTGCCGCCTGGACGGCCCTTGTCGCCACCGGCATCGATGACCGCGGCGGCGC